CGCTGTTTAGCAAAGTTCTTCAGCTGGGATTGCATACGGTCTTATGCCGTATGCAATCCCAGCTAAAAGTATACCGGCCTTCTTGAAAGGATTGACTGATTTCGCTTTATCCTGCAAATAAGCGCTATAATTTAGACAATATTCAGATATAATCAAGAAATAATATACTTATAAAACAATAAATAAACATATATAAGCAGACATATATAAGCAGAAATATATAAAAAATTTCAATCTACTTACTCGATAGGACCAAATATATTTTCTGCAGCAGATTCAAATATAACATTAATCTTATAATGGCTGCATTCCGATATTCACTGCCAGTACTGAAAATCTATAGTGCACGTGATGTAAACTATAGATTTTCAGTACTGGCAGTGAATATCGGAACGCGGCCAATGTTATTATATCTTGACGTCGCGAACATTAACCTTATAACGTTATTATATCTTGACGTCGCGATGGTACTGCGTACCGCTTGATACGTATCATATGCGTATTATATCTTGACGTCGCGATGCTACCGCGTACCGCTTGATACGTATCATATGCGTATTATATCTTGACGTCGAGATGCTACCGCGTACCGCTTGATATGTATCATATATGCGTATGCACGCACATATACATTATCTCTCAAGACGTATTTGCACACTGCGAATAATCATCATACATGAGCGCTGCAAACGCGCCTTGAAGGACAAACTCGCTTTGCGTGTGTGCGTGCGAGCATACGTACGTGAGAGTCTGAACCTTATTATTATGAAGAAAAATGAAATGTCACATTTCTGGTATACGATTATCATTCCTCAGGATTGACTGCACCAATCTTATTCAAACTGGTCGCAATCGAGAACATTAACCTTATAACGTTATTATATCTTGACGTCGCGATGGTACTGCGTACCGCTTGATACGTATCATATGCGTATTATATCTTGACGTCGAGATGCTACCGCGTACCGCTTGATATGTATCATATATGCGTATGCACGCACATATACATTATCTCTCAAGACGTATTTGCACACTCAAGCGAATAATCGTACATGAGCGCTGCAAACGCGCCTTGAGGGACAAACTCGCTTTGCGTGTGTGCGTGCGAGCATACGTACGTGAGAGTCTGAAATATCTTACCTTATTATTATTATGATAATGATGGAAAACGAAAAATGTCACATTTTTGGTATACGATTATCATTCCTCAGGATTGACTGCACCAATCTTATTCAAACTGGTCGCAATCGAAAGCTTGCATCCACATTGTATAAGAAAAGTGCCGTTAGATTTTTGATTAACGGCTTGGTTCCTGAGGAATTTTAATCGAAAATTTATTAGATGTAAAACTCCGGATAAGCTACTTGGTAGCGTCGCGGCTCCTGTACATAGGCAACATAGGCAAACCGTTGACAAGCCGAAACGTTTTTTTTATATACTTGGCGTCGCGTCGCTTGATCATAATTAGCTTATCTTGTGTAACGATATCAGAGATGAAGCGCACTAGGGGGCCTATTACGGTTCTTGAAACGAGGTGAAAATTACAAAAGTGAGCAGATTTACTAGATTTCGACAAATGAAATTGTAAATACTCTAGTAAATTTCCTCACTTTTGTAATTTTCACTTCGTTTCAAAAACCGTAATAGGCCTCCAGGTCGACGGTCGCAGAAGGAAAAGGGGCGAGCAGACGACGAACGATAAAACGCTCCTTCTTTTTTATTTCTGTGTTCTACAAATCTTCTATTTTGTATTTAGTATATTTATATATGTTCGTAAAACTTGCACAAAATTACTCTAATCCGATTTCTAATTTTAACAGAATTACCAAAATATTTGATAAACGAAAGAGGTTACGTGTATATTTTAACAAGTTTTGATTCACACAGGATTGTGTAAAAAATTTATTTTCAGGAATAAGAACAAAACATCAAATACCCAATACTTTACAATTTAAACAAGATTTGATAGAACTTTGTATATCTCGCTATATTAAAACATCAAAATATTCCAACTATGACCAAGATGATAGAAAATTTCTGTGTGATTTTTTGAGTAAAATGAAAATAAAAAATGTTGAACAGTTTCCGAATATTACTATTGACATTATTTCAAAACATATATATTTTAATAACATAGAGGTAAATGTATTATTAATAATATAGCTTGATTATATAATTCACAGTATCGCTACAGATAAAAGTGCAACATGCGCAATTCGTTTAAATTTGTAACGATACCGTTACTAACGGCCTAGCGGGCCGTTCCACCACGCGCTTTTCTAGGCTCGGCGCTTATGGCGTCCCTAAGCTCCCACACCCGTGTCGCGGCCCCACCGTAGGGACCACCCCACCACACGTTGAATCGCGCAAGTGGGAGGCCGGCCGCCGGTATATAAGGCGCTCCGGCGAGCATAGCATTACCAGTTCCCGATCCCGATTCCTGTCACATACAACTCTCCGGATCCTGAACCACCTCTCGCGTTACACCAGGCTACGGGCTTTCCGTAGTTAGGCCGGTCTTCCCGGTTGCTGGGACGGGATTTTTGAAATAATACTTTATTTTTTGTAACCACAGATGTTTTTGAATATTTTATCGTCATGGAATTTATTAGTCGGCAATATTTGCCTCATTTAAATAATATTAAATGTAATTTAATTAGTTTTTTTTATGGAAAAAGTAAAAAATATTTCTTGAGCAAGTCTTATTAACAATTGTCATCGATTAGATTTGAGAATTATGAGACGATTTATTTTATATAGAATATAAAAATTGCATATACCAAAGGCCGACTAGTTAAACCAATATATTAACAAAAAAAAAACAATGGCCATGCATTATATAATTAAGTAATGTTAAAAAGTTAAAAAGTTTATATTTTTATTATATAGTTTATATTTTTTTCTATAGTATTGTTATATTATTATTAAGTGTTCTTAGAATATTATATTGAATATTAGTATTATTATATCCAAGTTAATTTTTTTTTATTCTATAATTTAAAAATTTATAAAAAAGTACAAGATGTTCGTAATTTTTTTATTTAAATAAATATAAATTGTTTGTAATTTTCTTATTTCATTTCTTTTTAAATGATTATGCTTCCCATAACAATTTCTATTGGTTCCGCCATGTTTTTTCAAACATCGTTTTGACCAATAAAAAGGAAAACGCACTGTGTGACTAGACTCTATCTTTAGGGACTCTAATAGCGTTTTCGAATGTAGCAGGTTTAGGGCCAATTTCACCAAGTCCGGTTAGATGAACCGACGGTTAAAATTAGCAGGGTGGCCAACAGAAAATAGAGGTGAAGGAAAACCAAGCATTCTTATCATTTCAGTTGGAACCCTGCTAATTTTAACCGTCGGTTAATCTAATCGGACTTTGTGAAATTGGCCCTTGGTGAAATTGGCCCTTAATCTAACCGGACTTGGTGAAATTGGTCCTCAGAGCGATTAATGACGTCATTGCATCGTCTCTGCCAATAAAAAGCTTGAATTCATAATAAAATATAGTGATTAATCAAACCGGGTTGGGTTAAGGGCCAATTTCACCAAGTCCGGTTAGATGAACCGACGGTTAAAATGAGCACGGTGGCCAACAGAAAATAGAGGTGAAGAAAAACCAAGCATTCATATCATTTCAGTTGGAACCCTGCTAATTTTAACCGTCGGTTTATCTAACCGGACTTGGTGAAATTGGCCCTAACCCGTTCATCCGAAAACGCTATAATGATCCTCGCACACTGGAGCTCCGTAAAGTTAACCGGACCACTTTAACTTTTTAATAATTAAAATTATCTAATCCTTTGGTGGTCGTTTGGTGCTGATTGGTAGCCTAATTAAAACGTTTGGTGGTCGATCGTTTTTTTTAATTAAATAATTGAAATATTGGTGTAAAGTTAGCCGGACATTTTTAATTTTTAGTCTAATCGATTAAATCAGGGCTTATTCGATGCAGAATCGTGAGGTGGTCACAAATCCTTTATTTAAAACGTTTGATGGTCCATAATTTATCCAAAAAGTAAAAAAGCCATGTGCGGTTAGATAGTGAGGATGGCTAACTGGAAGCTGTAAAGTTAGCCGAATAAATATATTATTTACCAACCAATTTTGTTCAAATTGGTCTTAATTGAAAGACAATCGTTTGGTGGTGATTGGTAGTCTAATTACAACGTTTGGTAGTTAATTATTAGGTTACTACGATTATAAAACCATGTGCGCTGATCTTGCGCCTTCGTCGTGTAATGGCTCTCGCAGACCAGCGTGTTGACGCGACGCGCGATATCCAATGAGAGCTCTGCTTTTCGGAAAAAATAAAGCTCTCATTGGATCCTTGGGGAGTGCGATGGATACGTTTCTCTTGGTATACTCCCGACGTCATGAATGGTCATGAATACCTGAAGAGAAAATTTTATCAATCTCGGAACGCGTGTCGTGTCTAGATATTCCTGCATTCATGACTGTTGGTCATATTTGAGGAAATAACCAATAAAATAAGAACCAATATAATTATGCAAGAAAAAGGGAGCTACTCCCGATTTCGATAATTTTGAAATATGTTATCAAGGTCATCACCCTGACCCAGATAGCAAAATGCTAGCAGCATGCGCGCAGATTGGCAGCAAATTTAATCAGAATTCCATGCCAAAACCATAGCCATCTGTGACCACATTAAGCTCAGGTTTTGTCGACAGAGCCTGCTGACAGGCAATGTGAGCAGATTGGCAGCAGAAATCACGCAGAGCCTGCGCGCAATCTGACGGCAGATTGACAGCAGAAATCGAGCAGTTTCTAGACATTTATATAAAATGGTACATTTAAATGGATTTAAACATTTAAAAGGTCTCGATTCCAAGTAGCAAAATGACAGTAAATTTTGGTCACAAAATAATCAATTAGACGTCCTAAAGTTAGGTCTCATAAGATTCAAAAATGACGTCAATAGTTGATATGTCACCTTCACGAGATGTCATTTTCTGACGTTTGTATTAATAACATAAATTTATAATATTAATAATATATATTAATGTAATATATATAGGAAAATTTGAATAATTTAATTTATGAAATTAAATCAAAATTAAAATATTTTATTTATATGGAAGTTAATTTCTATTTTATATCTTAAATAGATATAATAACAAACGATTTTCACTTATTTGGATAATTTCTTTCCGAATAAGTGAAAATCGGACATTTATCTGTCTGATTTTCTAAAAATCAGTTCAATATCTGAATTCCCGGTATGGGAGTCGTATCAGAAATTAAACTGATAGAAATAATTACGATGTTATTAGCCGCATTTTGCAGGCATTATATACGCTCGTGACAAGAACTTAAATACGGGTATGGAAAGTGAATAGTGCGCCGCATAGTAAGAAGCGAATAAACTATACTATTTCAATAAATTATATGAATGCTAAAAGCTGCAGATTCTGTTTGATTTCTACTGCCAATTTATCAGATTGCTGCGCGCACGCAGATCTTGCTCGATTTCTGCCGACAATCTGATGTCAAGTCATGTTAGCAGATCCTGCTCGATTTCTGCTACCAATCTGCCGTCAGATTGCGGGCGCGCAGATCCTGCTTGATTCCTGCTATCAATTTGACATCAAATTGCGTTGTGC